GTGCAGTTTGAGGAGAAAGGAGTGTTCTAGCCTTTCCCTGTCCATCCTCATCACTAGAAACTGTACAGGAAGAAACATGTTTCCTTTCACCATTTTAGAGTTTTTGTTTGGGTCTCTGTAACAAAAGATTAGCAAGAGAAAAGTAAACAAGCTCATTAACATGTACATCTCATATATACTTATGAGAAATGCTAGTAGGCATAACTCAAAAATGTGGCTAGAACTTAGACTTACAGATTATCTTGACCAAAGAACAACATACTTTTAGAATAGCAACAAGACAGGAAAAGAATGCTAGGCTTCAAGGCTGGCAGATTGTGGGATGATAATAAATACATTTAAAACTAATGGAAGATGCTAGCTACTCAGTAAAGGTTGTTTTGTTGGGTCCTCTGGTGCTGTCTTGGGGCTGATGAGAGTCAAGGGTTGTTGGTGATTAATATCTGCACAAATTTATGTTCTGCTTTCAGGAAATTAGGAGAAGGGTGGAGAATTTTTCCTGGATTTGCTTCTTTTCAATTGCCTCAGCTCAAAATAATCCTTGTGCCAAAGGGGAAGATTTCTGGGTGGCATATATGGTTATCCTTCTGTAAGTTTTACTGTTAAGTTCTTTTGCTTTGCAATGACCCTTTATGTTCTAACATGGAAATGTGAAGTAAGGTATTGTCAGAAAGGAATTAGGAATGTTGTTCTCATGAGCTTACTTATCATAGTAAAACATTGATTTATAAATTAAGAATTTACAATAGACACCAAAAAAGTTAGTAGAGGAATCTGGTTGAACAACATGGTGTGGCGCTACATGCCTATCAGAACACCGGGCAGGATGTCATGTTGTTCTGTGGAAAATATATATAAAATAATTTTAAGTGAAAAAGAAGACAACAGAGTGAAAGCACATAAAGAAATTTAATGAAAAAAATTAATTAAATATTAGAGTTCATTTTCAGTTGGATAAAATATTCATTCAGTAATCTTTTTCTTTATAGTTACTCAAATTTGTAATAAAATAGGAGTAAGTTCTTCTTTGGGCTCTAGTACTAGTCCCAGTTCTTCCTGCAAGGTCATTAAGCAATATAATTTTATTATTTTCATGCTGGTTAATACTTAGGTATATTCCTTTAAACAGAAGGAAGAAAAGTTTGGTCAGTGGACCAAAACGCAGGCCCTGCTTTCCACATGTCACGAGGGTGGAGCCCCCAAACTAGTCAGAGAAGAGGGAAGTGAAAAGATGTTAAATACCAAGTACAGCCTGGATATCTGGCTTGTCAGTCAACATGAAGGCTCTCCTTTTTCTGGGCCTTCTCCTCCTTTCTGTCACTGTTCAGGGCAAGAAATTTCAGAGGTGTGAGCTTGCCAGAGCTCTGAAAAGACTTGGATTAGATGGCTCTAAGGGCGTCAGCCTGGTGAATTGTAAGTTAACTCTTCTTCCTCCTTCCAAATAGGTAGCCAGGTGTGGAACAGATACTAATAGAGGATGAATAATAAGAAAGGGATGTTGTGTAATAGACTTTCCTTATTTCTTTGAGGTTTTGTGCATTCACAGTGGTTAAAACATCAATGGTTCCTTTAGAATCAGATATACCAGGTGAAGGAATGAGGCATGGGAGGGTCAAATTCTATACCATTCTAAGCATGCCAGGTACCGCTATACTCCTCCAGAGCCACTGAATTTGCCAGCTGGCATATGGAGGCTGACTATAAGATATATTTCAGCACCTGAGATTTGTCTGTCAAGCCCTTGGTATTTGACTCTAGCCATTTCCAGTTTGGAACTTGAGTTCTGCAAGCCTGAGTGAGGTAGTATTTTTCTCATTTTTAGTCCCCCTACCATGATGTTGGGCAAAGTTTTTTAAAAATTTCATTGAACTCTTAAAACAGGGACAAAAGGAACCTATTTCCCCTCAATCAATATCTATATAAGGACCCATGAAATGCAGTATGAAATGATATTTTATTATTCTGACTCTAGTTGATGAATTATTTTTCATTTTCTTCCACAAAATTCAAGAAGTGTCCGAAGGAAAAGTGACTCTGTATTTTAGTCCATATTTGTCAGTCATCACTGTATTTTTCAGATTGAATTCAGACATTTCTCCTCCATAACTATTTTTAAATGAATGAGTAACTGGCTAGAAGGATGGATGGATAACATAGTCTTTCCTATTCTATGACTCTTTTCAGGATTCTAATTTGATATCCAAATTCAACTTTAAGTATCATAAGAAATTTTTTTTTCGCCCAGAAAAAAATACTTAAGAATGTTTTTCCCTAATAAAAGTATTTTTCCATTAGCATATGTATATGCCACTAATTGGGATTTCCAGATGGCTCAGTAAAAAGAAACCATCTGCTGATGCAGGAGACTCAAGAGACGTGGGTTCAAGACCTAGGTTGAGAGGAGGACATGGCTACCCACTCCAGTATTCTTGTGTGGAAAATCCCATGGACAGGAGAGCCTGGCGGGCTACAGTCCATGGCGTTGCAAAGAGTCGGACATGACTGAAGCGACTTACCTCACACATATGCCGCCAATGACTGAATCCACTCAACTCTGTCGATTTTTCTATTCTAGGCTGAATCTTACGTGAGGGATGGGAGCAGGGGAAAGGTAATAGCAATGGAAGAAACATCTATTTTAATATTTTTGAAAATATGTTACTTGTTTCATTAGTATTAACAAATGTTTTGCTAACAAAAGCATTCTTTTAAGGGCCCTTTAACATGAAAGTGTTAAAATATTTTACAAGTAAAATGCATCTTTATACTTATAAAACAAGTTGTTAGTAAAGTAGAATTAAATAGAACTAATTACGCTGTGACGTATAAGTTATGTCGTGTTGCTGTTTATTACTATTTTTTTCAGGGATGTGTTTGGCCAGATGGGAAAGCAATTACAACACACGTGCTACAAACTACACTCATGGAGACAAAAACACTGATTATGGGATATTTCAAATCAATAGCCACTGATGGTGTAATGATGGCAAAACCCCGATAGCAGTTAACGCCTGTCGTATACCCTGCAGTGGTAAGACAAGATAATGTGGCGTGATGGCACAGGACCCCTCTGGCTATACCTGTTGGGTTATCCAAAAAGTCCGTTCAGGTTTTTCCATAAACATCTTATGGGAAAACTGGAATGATCCTTTAGGTCAAGAGTCAATAAAAATAAAAAGCTCTTGAAGGGCTCATCAGGGACCTAAAACAACTCCATCTTAACTTCTAGAAGCTCTTTACTTTGCTCCTCATAATTCCTCAAGTAAGAAATTAAAGAGCTTGTATCATAAAAGTTTGCTGTTTGCTAACATACGAAAGCTTCTGGAGTGACCTATCACTTCATCATAACTGGACATGTTGGTGCTTCGTAAAGAACAATCCCATTCCTCCTACTTGCCTTGTTTGTGGAGGTTTAGGGATAATTTGGTTGTGTGGGAGTTTGGTTTTTTTCCAATGTACCCTCCTTTATTGAAAAACAAAAGTATTAGTGGTTAACCAAAAAAGAGGAATATGTGTGGTCTTTTTAAAATATAACTTTTACTTTATATTGTGAAATGTTTTAAATATTTGGAAAATTAGTAACATTAGCATAATAAACACTTTGCTCATTGTATAGTTTTACAGTTATTCACATTTTGTCATATTTGCTTCTTTTATGTATATCATATATATGGGATTGTTTGCTGAGTGATTTTAAACTGATTTAGAAACATTATGACATTTCATTTCTAAATTCTTTGGTTTGCATCTTCAAAAACTCCAGTGCCTATATAAGGATAATCATTCTAACAAGCTAATTTACAGATTTGTGTAATTGGGGTGAAAAAAATATTCTATTGAGTTCCTTTTAAAGTAGAGACAACATATGAATCTTTAGTGCATGAAATATTGAAGAAATATTGCAAAACTGATAGTTATTTTTTTAAATATTCAAAATCCTAATAAAAAGATCAGTCTTTAGAATATGATTTTGTATCCAGTTAATTTATTTTATACAAATATTTTACATTATAGAATAACCTGTGATCATTGAATAGAAATTCTTACTACCAAGAGATGCACGAACACTGGTAACTTTTGGTATCTGTGTCTTCTTTCAGAATCTACATCACTCATGTAAATGAATTAAAGTTATATTATGCACATTTGTATCCACATATGAACATGTAAGCAATGGGTTTCAACATAAAAGAAACTGTACTAAATTTACAGCTTTACAATTTGCTCTTTATTACACAATGCTATTTTTGTTAACAAATACCCATCTTTATTATTTTTTAAGATGAATAGACTTGTACTATGTAGATATTCTATAATTTATCAATCCACTTCTTTTTTAACATTTCTTTGTTTATTTTTGGCCATGTGAAATCTTAGTTGCCACAGGCAGGATCTTCATTGCCCCACGCAGGCTTCTCTCTAGTTGGGATGTGCAGGCTTAGTTGCCCTGCAGCATTTGACATCTTCCTTCCCCCACCAGGGATTGAACCAGCATCCCCTGCTCTGGAAAGTGCACTCTTAACCACTGGGCTGCCAGAGAGTCCCTCAGTCTATCTCTTACTGTTAAGCACTTAGGATGTTTCAATTTTCTCCTTTTATATTAACTGCTATGAAACATCTTATACACACATCTTTGGGTACATACCATGACTTCTTTAGGATAAATTTCCATTAGGAGAATTGCTGAGTAAAAAACTGCTAGACTGTTTCTGCTTGTTTATTTTGTTTTTACACTGCCCAGTAAAGAGTCCCTTGTATCACATTAGTTAATAGTTCCTGAACATAAAATGACTTTGGTAAATGAGAAACAGAATGCTTTATTTCATACCAAAGGGGATGGAATGAAGAAAGAGTTTTCCTCCAACATTTGCACAGATACACGGACTCTTAAAAAATAATATTAGTTGTTCTTTCCTCGGCCTAAGAGAAAGTTGACTGAACCTAAACTTAAACTGAAATTTCCATGAAGATTGTTTTCTTTTTCACCACTTCTTTTTCAGCTTTGCTGAAAGATGACATCACTCAAGCTGTAGCAAGTGCAAAGAGGGATGTCAGAGATCCACAAGGTGTTAGAGCATGGTATGGTTTTTTTCCCCTTTCCAGTTTTACTGAGATGTAATTGACATAAAGCAGTGTAAAAGTTTAGGGTGTACAGCATAGTGATTTGACTTATAGTCATCATGAAATAATTATCACAACAAGTTTAGTAAACATTGATTATCTCATATGGATACAAAGTTAGAGAAATAGAAGAAAAAATTCTGTGTGGGATGAAAAGTCTTAAAATTTACTCTCAACATCTTTTATATACATATAACATATAGCAGTGTTAATTATATTTATCATGTTGTGTATTGTATTGTTGTGGTTGTTTAGTGGCTAAGCCGTGTCTAGTTCTTTTAGGACCCCATGGACTGTAGCCCGCCAGGCTCCTCTGTGCTTGGGATTTCCTAGGCAGGAATACTGGAGTAGGTTGCCATTTCCTTCTCCAGCGGGTCTTCCCGACCCAGGGATCAAACTCGTGTCTCCAGGACTGCAGCCGCAATCTTCTGCCACTGTGCTAGCAGGAAAGGTCTGTTGTACATCACATCCCTGCTATTATCTTATACCTGGAAGTCTGTAGTACCTTCCACTGCCTTTGTCCAGTTCCTCACCCCTCACCCCGCCCTCAAGCCCCACTCTGGCTAAGCACAAATCTGACCACTCTTCTATGAATTTCTTTGTATGTTTGTGTTTGAAATATAACGGACCTACAACACTGTGTAGATTAGTCTTTAGGTCAAGACTAATCTTATTCATCTTTAGTTCCTGTTATAGAGCACAGTGTGTGTTAAGCACGAAAGAGGAGAACTGATTCATCCTGCTGTGATGAGAGAAGTGAGGGAATATTCCCAAAGACCAGGGTAAAACTGCAGCTTGAGATTTATGCTAAACTGTGTATTACATAGAAACAATATTATACCAGATTCAGAATCTTACTCTTTTACTACTCATTTTTTTAAGGGAATTTCTAGAGGCTTTAAGATTCTCCACACAGTACTAATACCTTGTTATATCTTGAAATTAGTTTTGGAATGAAGTAAATGTGGACTGCATTTTGCAGAGCTGGTGTGGACTGCACAAAACTCAACATTTGTGCTCAGCATTCTGTGCCCTAGTGAAGGCTTGGGGGAGATGTGAAGTCCTCGGTATACATATCTCCAGTTAAACAGCAATACCAACTGTCTATAACTTGTATTTCCTATTGGTAAACTATTTTGTTCTCTCAAAGGACTTGAAGTACCTATAAGACAATGAAGATATGTTTCAGGCTTCTTACCATATGTTTCATCTTTTTTTTCAGGGTGGCGTGGAGAAACAAGTGTCAAAACCAAGATTTCAGGAGTTATGTTCAGGGTTGTGGAGTGTAACAGTGGAGTTTTCACTTCAGCTCATTTTGTCTCTTTTTGATATTAAGGAAGCAATAGTTGGGTAAAAGATTACACTACCACTCTTCAAACAAATAATGTTTTCATAGAAGCAGGAGCATGCAGTCTTTCTTCTAAGAGGCTTGATGTTTACCTCACATGTTTATTGTTTAATATTAGGTCTACAATATTTTTCAGCTTGCTAACAGAACTAATGCTGGTGAATATTTGTCTAAAATCTTCATTGTCAACTGTATCTCTAGTACATTCAGTTCTTAATCAAAGAAATAACCCAGACTTAATCTTGAATAATAGAAGTACGATCCAGTATTCAACAAAAATATAACAGAAGAATATCTTTAAACAAATTGATCTTAGGCAAAGTCCCACCTGTGTAGGCATGTGAACCTTCATCTGTTCAGTCAAAAGGAACAGAATGTCAAATGGCTAAAAATGAAAACAGCTCAAATTAAGAATTTTGTCTTCAACAGTGCGGCCTTTGGTTTAAATGTTTTAGTAGAAATGTTGCATTTACACAGCTTTTTAAAAATAAACTCACAATTTATACATCAGCCTATTTTAGCCTTTGTGAAGAACTCATTTATGCATCTTACTGATCCTGAAGGAATATAAAGAAGGATTAGATGAGCTGTTGATTTTCCTTAGTCTTATTAGCTTAAATTCATGCATTATGACTAAATTCAGAGGCAGATGAGTTTGCAAGCATTGAATAAATTGCTATTAAACAGATGTGACTTTATGTATGCTTTAAAATAATTCCTTTTTTCATTAAAAGCTTTGCAACTCATACTTTGTCCTTTCTTTGTTTAGAGCCATTTAATGTTTCTGAAGAAATACATATGCATATATTTGGGAAATAATGATCTGACACTTATTATTTCCTACATCCTCACCTGTACTGGAATAGCTGGATATTGCTAGAGAAATCCATAAGCATGCTGACATATCTCACTTAATTAAAAAAAAATTTTTTTTTGGCCGCACTGTACAGCCTCTGGGATCTTAGTTCCTCAACCAGGACTTGAACCTACCCCCTGAACAGTGAAAGCACGGAGTCCTAACCATGGGTGTTTGTATTAGTCACTCTGTCTTGTCCACTCTTTGCAACCCCATGGACTATAGCCCGCCAAACTCCTACGTCCATGGAATTCTCCAGGCAAGAATACTGGAGTGGGTTGCCATTTCCTTCTCTAGGGCCTAACCATGAAACCACCAAGGCATACCCCTCATCTTAGATTCATGAACATAGATTTAAATGGGCCCTCAAGTCTGCCTAGTCATCTTAGTCACTTCTCTGCAATCCTTCTGTGTTGGTGTCCCCACTCTCCAAAGTGACGGTCACTATTTTCTTTTTCTTTTCTTCTTCTGTCACTATTTACTTCTCTCTTTTCAAAGTCCCAGCACACACCACTGGCCTTCTACACCTGCACTCACTAGATGATCTAACCTCATTTTACACCGACAGAACAGAACAAACTCATACACGTTTTGACCCTCCCGGCCACCATAACAGAGTTCACACCTTTCCCTGGGCCCACCTTCCCTTCCTTCCCCTTTATTACTAGGATGAAGGGCCTCTGCCCCTGCCGATGGCAGTGTCCCCACATGCAGTCCATCACCATACTGCCCCGGTAACCTTGCTTGTTACACAGAACTCTCCATGGGCGCTACGTAACCCTCCAACCACAGCATCATTCTCTGCTCCCTTTTCCAGTAACACTTCTGGGATGAGATCTCTGTATTCACCCACTCCACGTCCTCACCTCCCTTTGTGTTTTCACCTCTTGTTAATCTGACTGCTGTCCTCACTCAGCTGAAAACGCTCAAACACGACTCTTCCCAGCATGCACTGGGGCCAGTTCTAGTGATCAATTGTTTTCTGTTCATCCTACTTGATCTCTCAGTAGCATTTCACAGAGCAAACCACTTCCTATTTCTGAAAACTTTTTCTTCCTCAGCTCTCCTCCTTTATATTCTGTCTCATTGATGGTTCCTACTCAGCCTTTCTTGGCTGCCTGTTTCTCTGCTGACTGATTTTTAAGTGCTGGAGTGTCCCAGGGCTCAAACCTGTAACCATTTGATACACGTTTTACTGATTCTTTTATTTATTCTTTTTGATGAAATATAACTTTCAAAAGAATAGAGTTTTCCCACTTTTTAAAGAGACTGAAATAATCTCAATCTTTCCCCAAATTTGCAAATACAATACAACCTTTTATGTTTTCTGAACAGTTTGAGAATATACTGTCAACACGGTGCCGTGGCTCTGAACCCTTCGGTGTTTAACTCCTGCAGACCCTCCAAACACCATCCAAATCATGAGGTGAACACTGGCAAAATTAAGACCACCTAGTCATCTGATCTATGCAATTTCATCGATTGTTCCATAAACCCTTAATTAAAAGTTTTAATGCAGAATCACATGTCATATGTGGTTGTTATGTTTTCTGTCGGGGTCCAGCCTCGGCAGGATCCAGGGGGTACCCTCGGGATGAACGGCTTCGGCGAGAGAGAGACATGAGACCAGCCTTGATAGGGCCAAGTCTCAGGATGAATGGCGAGAGAGAGAGAGAGAGAGAGAGTGACCAGACGGGGGTGTTTGCAGGGTCTGGCAATGCTTTATTTTCTACTGTAGCTTTTATATCCTAAGTTAGTACATTTCTAAGGGGAAGATAGTTTAACATTACATCAGCTTGTCCCTCATGAAACCAGGGTGTTTTCTGCATACTTCTTTGTTTATGAGGGTCTTGTATATTATCTTCCGGCCTTGAGGCCTATTAACATTTTATGCAAGTCAGGTGAATGTAAACCTATTTTCTGTTTCTATGATGACCTTAACTGAAAGGTAGCAGTCTCATAGGGCAACAGTATAGAGTAGAAGTATGACCTTGTTAATATAAAAATTAATTCTTCTGCAGAAGTTGTCAGTTGAGTTTATCTAAGAAGTTTATCCCACACTGACTCTGCGAATTTGGTGAGTCAGCTTCTGCCTAGCACTCTTGGCTGACAATTGACAACCATCTCATTGTTATCACACTAGGGCTAAGCTCTTATTTCTCTACATCTTTAACTATATTAACAATGGTTTCTATAACACAACCTTAGCACATTAAAAGCAAAACACAGCAGCAAACATCAACCCAATAACCACGTTTAGAATAATTTTTCTTATGTTTTCTAATAGGACTCCTTCACCCCTCAAAAAGGCTCTATGTCTATTAGGGCTTTTATATAATCAGGTTCTTTATGTTATTTTATGATTAGGGTATTATAAGCAATCATGCATATTAGTACCAAGGGCATAAATGCATTTGCTAAACAAACTAAAATACCAGCAAAGGAATTTAAATTAAAACACTCCTTTCACCCTGGATAATCTCATAAAATACCACCACCCAGGAAACTTATAGATTAAAGTTCTAAATTGATTCTTATTTGAGAAGAGATGGGGGAAGGCCTTCTGCCTGTGTCACAGAAATTAGGGAGTAGTCTATTGAAGCAAGCATCAGAAAGACAGATATCATCTTTAAGGTGAGTGTCAGGGGCAGCTTTTCGAAATCCCTGAAAACCTGATCTACCTTGCCTGTCAGATTTTCTCCCTCATGACCTTGTCATGGGTGGGATCTCATGTGTTGGTTCCCGGCAGTTTCCAGTTTCCTTCAGTCTAGATCACTTCATGCTTCCCATGACTTTTGTGACTTTAACCCTTTTGATGACCTCAACCACCGATGGTGTCAAATGGCCTAAGGTTTTTCTGATATTCTCTGGAGTAGATTAGGTTATGCATCTTTGGCAGGGATGCCACAGATGTGATATTGTGCACTTCTCATTGTGTCTCATTGTGTGTTTCAGGTGACATGCAGTTTTGAAATGTTCTGTTAAGGATGATGTTCACATGATCATTTGATTAAGGTGATGTCTGCAAGTCACCTCCACTGTGAGGTACTCGGGAGAGGATGAGGTACTTTGACCTCGGAGAAATTTGAGCAATTTTCTTCCTCATCAAAATGTCAGTTTTTGCATGTACTTATTATATCAGTATGGACCCCTGGCTTCCTACTGTATTCCAGTTATAATGAGTCAAAGCCATTGCTATCATTTATTTTGATGTTCATATTGTTCCTTAATTTTCTCCTTTCAGAGAGCCTCTGCAAGCTAGCTTATGTGTCATCTTGACATGACTGCATCATTCTCTGGGCACTTTCTTGTTTTCTGGCACAAGTTGTTCTAATGCTCACCTTGTTCTCTTCCTGCTTCAGCCTAAAAACAGCTATTTCTCCAAAAGCTCTTAGCCCTCACAGTGGATAACAGTATTTAAAAAACCAATTCTGGGCACTAGCGTGGCACTGTTCCTATACCCCATCAAAGGAAAGAGCTAGGGGATGTATGTATTTGCCTAATTTTGTCTACTCAAATTGAGTTCATAGAATACCTCCAATTCCAATGCCATACCACAAGGTTAATTGTAGATTTTCTTTTCTTTTCTTTTCTTTTCTTTTCTTTTATGTTGATAACTTCCTTGTAATACTGTCAGAAAGCAGGTACCCATTTTTCTTAAAATTCTTAAAGCATATCCTGATCAGTTTGCCTGTATGTAACCAATCTCCCAACAGTGCCACACAATGGAATAGATGGTCTCCATTCAGGCTTTGATACCCCTCAGGCGGTCACCCCTTCTTCCACATTGGGACGTCTTTACTGCATTTCATCTCTGACATACCATGATGGGACACTGTTTTTACAGCAAGGAGGGCAGAAAGTTTTTCCTCTTGTTTATGCCCATATTCCCAATACCTAGGACAGTGCCTGTAAACATGATATATGCTCAATAAAAACCAGCTGCCTGAATGACTCTCCCTGATGATTTAGTATATTCCCCCACGCTGGGCATTCTGAGAGTTTTCTTACTCTCCAATCTCACTTCTAGTATGGCAGCTTCTGTGGCTCCAAAGGTCAGGTCTCAAATCTATGTGACCGGTGCC